ATGACTGGCGACCCCCCACACCTCACCTCCTAAAAATCTAGGCTAGTTATTATGATATCAAGTCGTGTAACTGGCAGTATGTGACACGACCTGTATTTTTTTTATACTCCGGTTACAAATACCCATAAATACATACCTTATAGACTAACATACATACATAATGTAAGAAAACATAATTGATCTCGTCAACGCGATCGTGCCTTCTGACTTTTAAATCACAAAGATTTGAAGTGCTTAAATTGCCATTGCGATCATCACTCTGAGACGTAAAGTGTCTCATGTGCTTGTAGTTTATCCAGCACCCTTACCTTAAAAACCGGAACGAACTGGACAAATGATATACTCTGAGTCTGGAAGGGTGAGGATCTCTCTGCCTAGTAAAGACTCCAGTTTATTAGTCCAATAGCTATTATTATTAAAAAAAATATTTCATAGCTAAACTGTCCGGAGAATCCGTTCACCATGTTGTCAGTTTTCTGTTTGGCTGTTTGGTATGAACATCAAAAATCTGTATGTAGAGCATTAGGCAGAAATGTACAGTGTTTCCATAAACTACCAATATAATATAATTGATAATATTCAGGGTTATTTTTAAAATACTAACTCGCAAAATTGTATGACTAACATCATAAACAGCAACTTTTAATAATTAACCAGATTTTACTTTCATACAAAAATAAACACATTTAAATAGATCGCTCTAGTCTAAACGGTAATAACTGTGTGCAGCACGTAGGTGGGAGTCGTCGCGGAGGACTTCTGGTGAAGTTTTGTGTACCGTTTAGGTTCTCGGGTTTCTCTCAGAGAAAAGTTTAAAGAGACCGGTATCATGACTGTGGCATCAAAGTACATGTACTCAAATATTTTGTATGCCCCTGAAACTATTCGTAATTTCGTTAAGAAAGGAAGATATCCTTAATATTCACCTTAGAACTAAGTCCAAACTCATGGTACCACTATTTCGTTTAACTAAGGTAAACGTTTCTTTTATGGGGAATTGTATGCGTTTTTACAATATTTTCTGCAGCATATATTAAGATGACCATTTCCTAAGTTTAAAACTTACATTAAAAGTATTTTAATTGAAAAGTCATATTGCAGAATTGTAGGCTACGTGTTAAATAAAGATGTATAATAATACAATGTGAGTCTAGATTCCACACAAATATCATTCAAAATGTATTCTATAGCATTTATTTGAAAAGAGCAACACCTAGAGTTTCTTGCTCGTTCTTCTCAGGGAAGTCGGTACAGTGAACGAGCAATAGCTTAAAAAATGACGTTTTCAAGAATGTTTTCAAGTGTAATTAATTTATTAATTTTACCTATGGAATAAATAATTATTTGACTTTGACTGAGGACGCTTGCATATTTGAACTTATTCTACCAAATACAGAGCTCTAAAAGTTGTCCCGACTAACGTAACAAAACGAGAAAAATGTTTCAATAAGTAACGAAATGGAACGAGAAAAATGATTTTAGACACTAGAATAGGAAAAGTTCTACATTTAAAAATTCAACCGAGCGAAATGTAAGATAGAGCGGCCTAACATTTCTTTGTCTATATGAAATATTCATTTCAATTTGGTTTGGTTTTGAATCCATTTCGTTCAGATCAATCACAAAGGAACGATACCTTATTATCCTGAAAGCACTTCCATTTTATATCAATTCTTCAACGGGAACCAATCAAGTAACAGCCCTATTGTGTCCGTAGGCCTATCGGTAAATAATTGTTGTGCTGCGCCCCATTTAATCTACGAATTACTTTTTACCCTCGAGATTACAGAAATGTATTTTATCAATAAAAAACCGTAAGCTATAAGTTTTTTTCTTTTCCTATTACGCTGCGATCACTGCTTTCGAGGACTATAAGAATAGCAACATTAAATAAATAAGTTTGAATTTTTGCAACTAACGCATAAATTGCACTGTAGACAGCCTCGTAATGGACTGAGATTGCCAATCCGGTGAACAAAATTCGCTTTTAAAAGCTGAGTAAAATTGTATTACTTTTTTGGTCACGCCTAAAAGTTTAACGGCCTAAGGGTGAGGCTAGACGAACACAATGTTGTGAGTTGTGAGTTGCGTAATTTAAGCTGCATTTGGTTTCATGTAAAAGTCTGGTTTGTTCCACACGACGACGCAAAATGAGTTGTCTGCCGACTCACGCGCATTATTTATATCTGAATTTCGGTCGGTGAAGGGGTGAAAGAAGTGGTCCTTTGGTATGGATGCACGTGAGTAGAAACGTTTCTTGCTCCATTACGCTATACGACGCAAACACCCCGTACAAACGCATAAAAGCAACTGAATAAAATACTTTCGTCTGGCGCCTCAACCGAATTTCAGTCGAATGTAAACTACGCGACTCAAAAACCGCGACTCACAAAATTACGCACGTCTGGCCTCACCATTAATCGCAAAGATCTGAGGGGCACTGCCACTGCGCCCGTGGCGCGTCTGAGACGTAGGTTGACAAGTCCCATGTGCCTGTAATTTCATCAGCACCAGTACTCTTCAAAATTGGAACGCAGTAATGTTCACTTAGAGCTTGGCGGCAGAAATATGGACAGGCGTGTAGCTTACCATGAGGCGCACGAAAAAAAATAGGTAAGGTTCTCTTTCTAAGGAACTCTTTCACAGGGAGCTTTACTGTTGCTACTAGATTAACAGTTATTACGGAAGAGGATCTGTGTGTAACGGTGATTTCCCACAGTGGTATTTATCCACCCCTGGGGGTCCACTGCAAGCTCTAAGTGGTCCAAGTCAGTGAAAAAATTTTAATTCGGGTTGCATGATATGTTAATAGGGGTCCGCGAAAGTGATACCCATTTGGGTAGGTCTTGACCGAAATTGATGGTTTTCATAAGAGGAATAATTCATAGGAAATGAAACTATTTTTCCAGATATATAGGAATAATCCACTTTACAAAGATTAGTACCTTTGTAAATACATAATACTTTCATTACTAGGCATTGTAATAGACTTGTCAGACGTGACACATTATAAATCCCTCAAGTGTGTCAGTATCTTACTGGCTAGGTATATCTTAGAATGTGTGAATATGAAAAAAAAAAATCTTATTAGTTCACTCAACTGAACTGGTTGACTGAACTAGTCGGAATAGAGGTCATTTCTACGGAGATTCCCTGCACAGTTTCCTGTAATTAATATCTGGAGCTCTATCCTGTTTGTCGTATAAAACGGGGAGTTATTTATTATGTTTTGAGGGTGATGAAAAATATCTCAATAATGTTGGTCTTGCGAAGATAAATTATGTTAGTTACTGAAGAAATATGTTATTCCGTAGCGAACTAGGTACTGGGCCCTTACCATGAACTCTTATTACGATTCAATTAAGGACCTAAAATGAGTTACGAACAGACTGTCGAATTAGACGCACTGCTTTACATGAGATTGCGACTTGGGATCTTAGTTCAAAATGTGTGGGTGACACCTATATGTCAGCTAAAACAAAGAATAAAACGAATGGGAAAGTAAAGGTATACAAATAATACTGACGCTAAACTTAGCTCAAGCTTAGACTTAAACTGCACATCTAACTTAAATCTGCCGCGCAAAAGTCAAGGGTCAGTGAAAACAAATCTGCTATAAGTATAATTATAACAACGTGTAACCAATGAGACTGTAATATACACATGATTTGATATATTTTTGCGTCGATTGTGTTCTATATTTGCTCTTGTGCGTCTGTAGTGCTGATAGTACGGAGAACGATTACTCGCCAATTGAAATGTTTACACTTCATGATACCATTTATACGTTCCACTTGTAAGCGCCCAGTTACACGACGCGAAAGTTCTCGCGCGGCCGCCGCGCTTCGACCGCAAGTTACCGCGCTTGCACGTACATTAATGGCGAATCTGAATTCAATTTACTAGGCAACAACATTTAAATTCCGCGTAGCCATCGCTTAGACCAAAGACAAGGCAGGCTCCAGGCCCGGAACGCTCATTTAAGTTAAAACGTAAAAGCTAAATAAATAGAGCGTCTTTTGGCATGACAGTTGGATGGACGTGCTGGCTGCGCGGCGGCCACGCGGTCGCCGCGCGGCGTGAGCGCGACGAAATTCGTGTCGAATAAACGTGACCTAAGGGATATATGCTGTTGACCCTTACTTACTTGTTGTTGCTGTTGTTGTTAATGTTAATTGTTTGTTTGTAGAAAGGAAATATTTTGTTGAGTAGTAAACTTAAAACCAAAATTTAATTTCAAAACAGTACGTCAATATTTTGAAAATAGTAATTAAAAACCTAAAACATGCTAAAACCCCTAAAAAATTTTGCGAAATGACGCTTTCGCCCTTTTTATACAACGCTGTATAGTCATGAAACAGAAGCAAAAGAAGGTTAAGTCCTCGACTAGCATTGGGCCAGCGTTTCAAACTAAGGCCTACACCCTAGCTTAAAAGAGATCCGTGGCAGTTAATAGAACGAAGCTCTTTGCAATTACATCGAATGCAAGCGAACGTTGGAAACATGTTTCTATACGAAACACAAGTTTTATAAAACGATTTAACAGACTTGCACTGTTCAGTATGGTTCGCCGAAGCTAAGATTTGTACTTTTTTCACTCTAATATCGCTGCGTCGTTGACAAATGCAAAGATTATGAAATTGCTCAGACAGTTAAGAATACTCTTTATCGACTAGTACGCCATTTACCAGTATTCCCTTGCATTTTATGGTCGGAATTGTTTGGCATGAACTTAAATCATATTTCACTGTTGAGTACCAACTTCCAAGTAACTCTTGTGCAATTGTAAACATAAAGTGATTAATAAAAAGAACGTTACTCTGTCATTTTTCTATTTTTTTTTTGAAGCGTTCTTACAATAATTTGGTAATAAATAAAAAAAATGCCAACTTTTAGACATTAATAAAGATACAATTTTCATTACATCATTCAATAATTAACATTCAAGCCATAAGTACTCTGACGAAGAAAGCGAAACCATCGTATTCAAAGTTAGTTACCTGTCCAGTATAGTGAAAGGGGGAATATCGTCTGAGTTCCCCTACTTTATAGTACTTGCTTCCTGGAAGAGGGACCGGCGGAAATTTCGGTGCAACTTTGGCTACACTTTTGCTCGTTTTGTAACGCTTCGTCTCACAGAGGCTTGTGGTAGGCACAAAACTCTTTATCAGAGCAGTCTCGCGTGGGTATTTTTCATCTTTGATTGGAATAACTGGAGTCTTGAGATTACGCAGTTGGTTCCTGAGAAATAGGATACTTTTAGTTGATTTCGTTTCAATTGGTTATTGCTGGAGCAAGCCGGTGCATTAAGATAAACCGGTTGGACAATATCGCGGTATTAAAATTTATTTGTAAACCAATATCCAATAATTCTGATACCCGTATTCTTAATTTAAGAGACAGGTCATAATTTATTTCATTTTAATAAAATAGTATCCACGCTCAGTATAGTCAGGAGCTCATCAAGCTTTGGCTCTTATTACAAGTGGCGTAAAGTTGAATTTCAAGTGTCAAGCTTGACTAGCTGTTGCCGATAACCTGGACGTTTGACGGTGACAGGGAAGGAGGGCAAGGGACCTAGAAGCAGGAATCTCAAAAGGTGATGGGATCACAACTCCGATCAACTGGAGTTACCTGTCAGCCGCCACACTACATCATGCAACTGAACGCAACCGCTGGAGGCAAATGGTTGGCAGGATGAAGTGGAGTCATCATCCTCAGCTGTGAGGAAGCTTCTTAAGTAGAATTATTGATTAATAATAATGCTGAAGCGGTTTAAAACAAAATTTCGCCTACCGCTCGAAACCTATCACAAAACCTCGGGAGATGGTATAAATTGAACAGCAGAATGTGGATTGGAGCTGTAGTGGGCAAAGTCATGACTATGAATGAGCCTTGTGTTGATCTCTGTGGCAGACCAGCGATTGGAAGAAGCATCGTAAATATGCGGTCTAACTTCGGTAGGTATGGGGACCGTATTGGCGGTAATTTACACAACAAAATTGAATACAAAATATAAAAGTTATTTCCAGAATATTAAATTTTAAATATAAAACTTTCGAAATTTTACGGCACTCCTGTCCCCCTTCACACCTCACCATAACTCGGAAAAGCATAGATGTTCAAAAAATGCATATTTGACTACTGATTTAAGTATATTCGAGAAATGGAAGTGAATATTTCAAATGAATTTGAAACTAATGATTTAAAGAAGAGTCCATGTTAGAAAACAGGGCAAAGGAGAAATTCCTTTTGTTTTTACAAATTTTTTATACACGTCCGACTGAAGGCTAAGAATCTGTAGAGCAACCTTCCTGCCAATTAGAATACAAAAAAGATTTACAACAACAAAAAATATTTGAGAAGGCACTTTTTCTCTGTGGGTATTTTGGGTGTAACGGGGGTGAATTCCGTTAGATACACGGGCGCTGCCGGTACGTAACGTCACGTCACATGATTTCAACGCACCGAGTGTCACACGAGCAATGCGGTGTCACAACCTTAGGGTGCGTTTCCACTGAGTGAATTGGCTAATCCCTGTGCTAGAAATCTCTACTCCGCATCAGTGGTAACAGTGGTAACAGTGGAAATGGAGCGGAGCGGAGCGCACGATGCGGTAGGGTAGCGGGACGGTGCGGCGCGGCGGGTATGGTAGACTGGTCAGGAAAGGACTCGTGCGCTGCGTTTTAGTTTAGTTCGCGATATTACGCCATAAATTTCACTCGTCATCGACATTGCATGTGAATCAAAATGCATGAGAAGCTAATTGAAAGTGTCCATGTGTATGGGATACACGACTGATAACATACACACGTAATGAAACCGAAGATGCGAATTAAAGCGCTGCTCTTTTTTTTTACCGAAAACATGACGTATGATCTCTCCAAGAGAAAGAATTTGACTGCTCTTCTCTACTTCACTCCGCCCAGCTCCGCGTCAGTGGGAACGCACCCTTAAGCTGGTTTCAGAGCAGTGCGGATTTATCTGCGGACCGTCCGCGTGGAGCACCGGGGCGGAGTAATACGTGTGGCGTTAGAGTTAGTTCATTGTAGGCGACAGTCGTCCATGAATACCCGCACTAAATTAAACAAGTATTCGATTCAGAGCACTGTGGATTCCACGCATGCGGATGGCCCGCAGCTGGACAGTTCGTGCGGACCGTACTCACAGCTGTGATACCAGCCTTACGCCCCGCTGCACCCCTCCCCGCTTTGTTTCCTGGCCTCTTGTCCGATGCTTTCCGTCGCCAAGTAGTCTAATTTATATCTAGTACAACTTAGCATCACCGCTCAGGCGACGCAACGCTTCGTGTAGCATTGCTCTTACTCTGGTACTCATAGTACAGGGAACTTCCTAATTTGAGACCAAGCACTGGATGTGATTTTTGGTTATTTATTTTATCAACATAAGTAATACCGACCTGAACAAAATATCTTTGGCGATATTCCCAGTAACCCGCAACATATTTGCAAAGCGAATTACACTAAAAAGAAAATAAAACTATTCGAACAATATTGTAAACCCCAAGGACGATCTGAATTTGACTTATACCAATTTGACAGTAAAATGTAAGCTGTCAGGTGCGGCGTTTTTTGCAAATTTGGAAATGTAAAAAGTTTGATATTGACATTAAAAAGCTTTCTTGTTTTACAATAACGTCACCTGTAGTACATTACCTTCTAACATATCACAAATAGAGCTTTACATAATAAGATTCCGGTTGATGTTCAAAAGTTTACCATTCACGAAAAAAAAAACAAAATCCTTACACTGAAGTTTATTATTTATACAGCTTCAGCGTATTGGATGTCAAAAATTCATGGTAGTGACCCGTAGTGTTTTGTATGAAACCACATGATGGGAATGTAATGGCCGAACGGTAACCATGCTGAGCTGCGACGCAGAGGTTCCAGGTTCGATTCTGGGGCCGTCTCGTGAGTTCATGTCAGTGTGTCCATGGCACCTGCGACACAAGGTTTCTCTAGTGCGGGCCTATGAGTGTATGCGTTATTATATATATACATATATATATATATATATACTGTCATTTAAATCAGATAACTATGACCCATATAGTATATGTCGTAAGGACTAACATACATGTAATATTAAAACTAATGAACTAATTTACACGAAGTGCACTTGTGGCGCGATCCGGTGTCAGGTAACCTGCCTCGGAATCGTCGTTACATGACACCTTTGTGCCAAACTCCTCCATCATGAATATCGACAGATGTTAGTTCGGCACTCTCATTAATCACGTCCACAGTATAATTAATATTAATTATTACGTGGCTTAAAAACGATGTGTCACATCTAGTTTGCGTGGAAGTAAAAAAAGAAATTGAGGGGTTAAACCGACTAACCATAAATAACTTCGATTTAAATTATTGTAGTCATGCAGCCCGGTCGATTTAATCCGTAATGCAGTGGGTATTTCCGATGACTAGTTATTCCACGAATGGATTAACGACCTCTACACAGCGAACGCTGTGCGGTGCGGTCTGTTCAGCGTGTAACAAAAATGTGCAGCAAATTTTCAGCTGGTGACCGTACTCATGTAACTTTTGATACATTCTTTATCTTGCAATCCTTTGCTCTATACACCCCGATCGCGGCGTGTTTCGAATTTTAAAGTAGTTCTGTTAATCCCAAGGTGCGATCTCATTTCTGTTGGTGATCATGACAAATTAAGCGCAAAAAAAACCGATCTCGCTTTAACTTTTTGTTAATCTTGGCTTTTTATGATTTACATTGATTCACCCTGAAGCAAATGTTGTAAAAAAATACACGTAATTAAACCAATTACACGGTCTAACAAAAAGACGTCTGTATTGGAGTGTTTTCACAAAAAAATATATCAATGTCATTCATAGTAATAAAAACATCATGATATTCAATAAAATAGAAAGGTAATATTTAGATACATTAAAGGATCACGACTATAAATTCAACCACATTTCTTTGTTATATATGTAGAGTGTACAGCCTAGATATGAGCGCCGCCGCGTCGGCACGCCGCCGCCGTCGCGTTTATCCCTGCGCCGCCGCCGCCGTCGACAAATGCAATCGGCGCGCCGGTCAGTTTAGCTCAGTCAGATCAGGCTCATGACATTTCTAAGATAAAACTTAGTGACTTTATATTCGAAGATGTTTTGTTTTAAACATTAATTTATCAATTTATGGCGTCGCCATTTTACTGCGCATACACAATACGGAAGCGTGCGCGTGCGTGCGATCGGAGCGCCTGATCGAACTGATAAAAATGTTGTTATATATAGAAAATAAGTTATTTTATTTTTTCCTTTCAAAAAGTATTTGCATAACGGTTTTTGTAAAAATAAACACCGTTATACAAATTCGTATGACGGTCGCGCAATCCGAAACGGCGCCGCCGCCGCCGCCGCCGGCGGCACTTTTTCGTCGGCGCGCCGCCGCCGATTGATCTATTATCGGTGCTCATATCTAGTATAGCCACGTCCCAAGTTATGAAACGGTCAGTCTCGGACTAGCAATTTTTATTATTTAAGTATTCGATTTTTTATCGCGCAACAGTACCTCGTATTGTATCGTTAATTACGCGATAAAATACTTGAATTTTTAAATATAAAAATTGCCACGGAAATTAGGTAGTGAATTGAGAATGATCGAAAAGAACAACTGCGTAAAAAGCGCAGCGTTCGCATTTTCCGCTCAAACATTTTAACTTCATTTAAACATCTTGGACGAAAATAAATTTATTCATAACCAGACCCTTCTCTCAGATCTTTCAAGAAAATATTCATTGCGACGTTTTTGATTGAAATAAACTTTTTAAGCCGACATTATGCGTCCAGAATCAAATTTATTTAGAGTTTTTACCTCCATCAAATTCCTTCCAAATTATTACGTTTAGAGTATCTAAACTTTAAATTGGAATAATTTATCGAGTTCTTAGGTTTTCGCGATTGTAACAATATTTTTCGGGTCCAAATCGCGTATATTTGTATTTTTAAACATGTTTTAAGCAAGCCAACGTTTCGGACCTTTTGCAGGTCCTATGGTCACTGCTGACTATACCACGCCATATGACCTGCAAGGCGCCCGAAACGTTGGTTAGTTTGTTTGAAAAAACCAAATACACGCAATTTATATCCAAAAAAATAGTTCCAATTCCTATACTATAAGAATTTAAATAACACGGCTATCATTATGAATAGAATAGAATAGAGTAGATACCAATATTTATGTGAGATGTACACGGCGTATCTTTTACGCGCAAATGACGTACGCGATTCAGTCACCTTTGCACACGTTTGCAAATATAAATATAGGGCCATAAATCATCAAAATCTTTAACAGCTTGAAATATGTCGAGTGCATACGCGCTATACAGGAACACAAAGGCTTGCACTGTGGATGCCGTATAAGGAGAACCAATTTTGGAAATAAACTTTTCTAAATTATACCTCCTAACCATACCGCTGCTATAAAGCTATCAATCATATCCACATTTAGTTGCCAAATTCGATTGATAAAACCGCCATTTTAAAATTTTGTCAAAATAGCTGACATAGCTAATTATATATAAATTATAGGATAAAACTGAGAAGAACATTTATAATACAGTTTAATATATGAGAGTAATCAATAAGTCAAAGTCAAATAATCATTTATTCCATAGGTAAAATTTTTACACTTGAAAACGTCATTTTTTAAGCTACTTTTTAGCTACTGCGCGTTCACTACGCTGACCTCCCTGAGAAGAACGAGCAAGAAACGCTAGGGATTGGTCTTTTCAAATAAACTTGAATGCTATGGAATACACTTTGAATCATAATTGTGTGGAATCTAGACTCTTGTTGTCGTTTCATACTTCTTTATCTAAAACGTACTCTTCAATTTTGTAATATGACTTTTCAATTAAAATACTTTTCATGTAAGTTTTAAACTTAGGAAATGATAATCTTAATATATTGTCCGGAATCTTATTGTAAAAACGTATACAGTTCCCCATAAAAGAATCGTTTACCTTAGTTAAACGAAATCGTGGTGCCATGAGTTTGGACTTAGTTCTAAGGTTAATATTATGAATATCTTCGTTCTTAATAAAATTATGTATATTTTTACGGGCACACAAAATATTTGATTAAATGTACTGCGATGCCACAGTCATGATACCAGTCTCCTTAAAATTTTCTCTGAGAGATACCCGAGAACCTAAACGGTACACAGAACGAATCGCTCGTTTTTGCAACACGAATATGGTTTGTATATCTGCCGCTTTACCCCACATGAGAATTCCGTAGGACATTATACTATAGAAGTAACTAAAGTAAACTAGTCTAACAGTAGCAACATCGGTAAGCTCCTACGTACTGCGTATGCAGCAGAGCTTAATCTGCTAGCTAAGGAAGATATATGTGGAAACCATTGAAGTTTACTATCTAAGGTCACTCCCAAAAATACAGCTTTATTAACAAAGTCTAACTTTTCTCCATTTATTTCTATGATTGGACTAGTCGATTTTACATTCGGTAATTCAAATTTAACACACTTTGTCTTCTCGGCATTGAGCAATAAATTGTTAACATTAAACCAATAAACTACATTTGAAAGGGTATCGTTAATATTGTCATAGTTAATGTGATGTCTGTCTGTTTTAAAAATCAAGGATGTCAGCAAACAATACTATGTCACAAAGGTCCTTAGCAAAGAATGGTAGATCATTAATATAAATGAGTAAGAAGAACGGTCCAAGTATTGAGCCCTGCGGAACACCAATTTTTGCCGGAGAACCCAACGAAGTCACTCCATTTATGTCTACTTTCTGAATTCTACCGTTAAGATATGACGAGACAAGTTTCAACGCCTTGCCATTTACTCCATAATATTCTAGCTTCCTGACTAGAGTAATATGGTCCACACAATCAAATGCTTTTGAAAGGTCACAAAACCCCAATAGCGTTCTAGAACCTTTCCCAAGCATCAAATATATGTTTTAGTAGCAGTACCCCTGCATCGCTATCGATCTATCACTAGTAAACCCGTATTGTTCACTATGGAAAATGTGATTCCTACCGAAATAAGACTGTAATTGACTCAACATAACCTTTTCGAATATTTTACTTAAAGCTGGTAGAATTGAAATAGGCCTATAGTTTCTAGGATCAACTTTCCTACCGCTTTTGAATAAAGGAATAACCTTGCTGTATTTCATCAAATCGGGAAAAATACCTTCGTCAACGCACCTATTGAATGCATTAGCTAAATGTGAGGAAATTACTACTATATTACTGAGTGTATTACTTTATTCGATATGCCCCAGAGATCTTCAGTTTTTTTAACATGTATAGATTTAAAAGCTTTGATGATGTTTTGTGGATTAACATGATGAAAATGAAATACACTGCCACAAACACGAATATAAAGTAAAAACTTAAACTACAAAAACCTTGTTTCGCGGCGATGAATAAAGACAAACACAGCTATACTTGCAATTTCATATCATTGTCCTTGTATTTCAAAATGTATGAGTAGAGTTCATTACCAAGTAAACAAAAGAACGAATGACTTTA